CCCCAAAACCCCAAAACCCCAAAACCCCATGATCAAAGTTTGGAGTGAGAATGAAGTTTTGGTGCTGGAAGAAAAGAAATGTACAAGTATATTTAATATGCTATTAGACTCAATACTCTTCAAAGATTCGATGGAAAGCACTTCTAATCAAGTAAATTTCTCTTTATGTTCTGTTGTTCTCCATCAATCCAGTTGCCATCAATTTGCAGATTTGAACAAGTTTAGTCTCTTTCTTGTAATTTAAGCACTTCTAAGAGTGCTTAAATTTTCCGGTAAGCTTGTAGCATTCACGTTTTAAAGCAGACTTCTCCAAATCTTTCTGATGATATTCTTCTTCTCTAACGAATATTGCTGAATGGACAAATTGAATTTTTCGGAAATTTTATGCTAAACTTCTCAATCCAGCCCTCATTGATTGCTATTCATGGTGATTTTCTCTTTCTCTTTGTACTCATGAGTTTTTCAAGTTTGAGTACTTAATTGTAGTCTTTTAAAGTTATTGTTCTTAGGTTGTACAGACATCTTTTAGGCAGGAAAAAAAATTTGGAGTCAGCTATCTATCTCTACTTTTTCATCAGTTTTTGTAGGTTAACTCTCTTCCAAACTGTTCGATGCTGTCGAACTTCTCTTAAATTATTTGTTCCTTTGATATAATTTCTAAATTTTGATTAAAATCAAAAAAGAAACATTTTAGTTTGAGAGATTATGGATTCTTTGATTATCAAGCACATTAGATCATTTTAAATCATCACTCAATATTTTGAAATGAAAAATATAATGATGCAATAGAATATTGAAGTTAATGGTGATACAGCTATAGATATAAGAGGATGTAAGATGTTTTGTGTAGATTATTTAATGATTCAAACAATTTCTTCAGACTTGAAAGCAAAATTAATCATAATTAAAGTCTTGATTGAAGTATATTATGTTTAAGAATTAATTTTGAAAATTAATCGATTGATATTCCTATTTTCCCTATTATAAACTAATTTTGGAGTGAAGGGGTTTTGGGGTTTTGGGGTTTTGGGGTTTTGGGGTTTTGGGGTTTTGGG